TTTTTTGGAGTATATATGAACGCTAAACCGTAAATATGCTCCAATTCGTATTGACACCCAATCCCTATCCGCCACGTTCAATACAATGACAGCTAAGTCTGACATGTCATCCTCCTATTGGCTCTGGATTACGTCGCATCCACGTCAGACGGAGCTGAAATGCAATTCCCGATGGATAAACCAGCGCTATAAAACATAACACACATCACAGATGGAGCCATTGTCTCGCTCCGAACGCTCTCAATAAACAATGGCGACTGCACTGAGAAGATCTCTGAACCCTAATCCTCTGTCTTTAGCTGTCGCTCTGTCTCTCCTCCTCGCGGTCTCCTCTGCAAAAGTATTCTTTGAGGAGCGTTTTGATGGTAATGTTTCTCTCTCTGCTTACATTACCTCCTTACTGAAGTTTTGCTTTTGTTTCTATATTTTGTTGGTTTTTATTGTTAATTTCGAATGATCGGTGCTTGGTTTGTGTTGTTTTTCATTGATCTTAAATGTTGTTGCGGATAGAAAGGCCATTTGATTAGATTCGAATCGAACTGAGATCATTTAACACAGATCTGAGATTATATGTTATCTATGCGCCGTCTTTGTTTTCGATGTAAGGATGAATGTTGCCAAATTACTGAAGTGGCTGCTGCTGGTTTTGTGAATCAAATGTATTTTATTGTTCCCTTGAGTGTAGTTTGTGGTAACAGATTTGAGTGCTAACGTTATTCTGTCATATAGTGACAGCTGATGATATAGCCAATTCTGCAATGCAGTACACCTCTAGTTAATTTTGATCCCTAGGACTATAATGGAAGCTGAAAATAAGTGGGGTTCCTTACTTTTTTTGTTCTCTTTTTCTTTTTAATTGTAGTTGTGCAAATTCAATATGCCTATATTTGTTAATAATCTAGTAGATAAATCTGGTTGCTGTTTTCATTGATGGTATTGTACTCATAATTTGTTGGATAACTTTCAAAGATGGATGGGAGAACCGGTGGGTCAAATCTGACTGGAAGAGAAAAGATAACACGGCGGGTGAGTGGAATTACACTGCTGGAAAGTGGCATGGAGACTCAAATGACAAAGGTAACCATATCTTGCAGAAAATTTGCTGTTTTTTGTACCGGTGAATATACTGTACTAAGTTTTGAGGATCTTCCACTATTATAAATCTTCAGGTATTCAGACAAGTGAAGACTATAGGTTCTACGCCATCTCGGCCGAATTCCCTGAATTCAGTAATAAAGATAAAACATTGGTTTTCCAGTTCTCTGTAAAGCATGAGCAGAAGCTAGACTGTGGTGGTGGATACATGAAGTTACTCAGCGGTGAAGTGGACCAGAAAGAATTTGGTGGTGACACCCCGTACAGGTAATGCAACATTCTTTGATTCTGCATTTCTTGGATTTCTTTTCCTATTTAGTTTGTTCATCCAGTTCAAGTTTAATTTTTGTGGCTCTTCATTCTTGTTTGTATGCAGTATCATGTTCGGACCAGATATCTGTGGCTACTCCACCAAAAAGGTTCATGCTATTCTGACCTACAATGGAACAAACCACTTGATCAAGAAGGAAGTTCCATGTGAGACTGACCAATTGACTCACGTCTATACCTTCATCCTCCGCCCAGACGCTACTTACAGCATCCTCATTGACAACTCGGAAAAGCAGACTGGTAGTTTGTACAGTGACTGGGATATTCTCCCTCCAAAGAAGATCAAGGACCCTGAAGCTAAAAAGGTTTGTTTAGTTCTATTTATATCTGTCACAGAGCATATTATGTTAGTAATTTATCCACTCATGGTTCTGTGCATCATAACTACAGCCCGAAGATTGGGACGATAAGGAATATATTTCTGATCCAGATGATAAGAAGCCGGAGGTACTTTAAGTTTTTCATTATTTTATGGTATGGTGAATCTTGTAGTTATTGATTTAATTTGAAAACTGGAGTATATATGCTTGCTCAACAGGGTTATGATGACATCCCGAAGGAGATTGTGGATCCTGAGGCCAAAAAGGTCAGTAAATGCACCATGTCCTATCTCTGACCCTGTTGCCTTCTAGAGGCTTGTGGGTGACTAATGATTTTATCTGAAAATTCTTTTTATTTGCAGCCTGAGGACTGGGATGATGAGGAGGATGGTGAGTGGACTCCTCCAACCATTCCCAATCCCGAGTACAAGGGCCCCTGGAAGGCAAAGGTTTGTAGAATCTTTGGTCTTACTGAAACCTGTCAATTTGAATGGACTTGATAATAAATAGCCTTTTTCGTTGACAGAAAATCAAGAACCCCAACTACAAGGGCAAGTGGAAGGCGCCATTGATTGATAACCCAGGTATGCTTGCCTCTCAATAATTAGCACTTGTTTGCATCTACTATAAGGGTCTTCCATAGGTCAACCTCAATATTTGCATGATTTCAGAGTTCAAGGATGACCCAGATCTCTACGTTTTCCCTAAATTGAAGTATGTTGGAATTGAGTTGTGGCAGGTAAAAGATTAATTCTTTCTTATTTATCTTAATGATTTCATTTCTTGAGTGAGCACTTACATTACTGAATATATATATTTTACAGGTGAAATCAGGAACATTGTTTGACAACATCTTGGTAGCTGATGACCCGGAATATGCTAAACAAGTGGCTGAAGACACATGGGGCAAACAAAAGGATGTATGTTTCATTTGTTATTCACAATTCAGTACCTGCAAAGAGTAGTGGGAATTTGTGTGAGACTTGTTATTGGCAGCTGACTGATTATATTGGTTTTTGATTTTGCAGGCCGAGAAAGCAGCTTTTGATGAGGCAGAAAAGAAGAGCGAAGAAGAGGTACCATGAATTGAATATAATGGCTCTGTGCATGCCTTTATTTCGGAAATAGCCATTAATATTTCGTCACATGATCTGCTGGTTCTTTTAAGTGTAGTAAAAATACACTTGTGTTTTTTTAGGTGTACTAAAAATGTATTTATGTTTTCAGGAATCGAAGGATGATGAGGACCCACTAGAGTCTGATGTAAGCTCTAAGTTCTTTGGTCTGAAATATTTTGGCCACATTAAAGAATATCTATCGTCTTGATTGGGATCTCATTATAATTATTTCTCTTTGAATTTTCTTAAGGCTGAGGATGGAGATGATGATGCTGATGACAGAAAAGACGCTGATGATGAAGAAATCGATGCCAAATCTGCAGAAGAACCAGCTGATGGCGATAAACATGTACGGAATTATTAGCTTGTTCGGTTTGTAATTTCTTTGCCAACTTCGTATGTGTGTGTATGCGCTATATATATATATATATATATTTTTTCTTTCCTGGCTTCCTCTTCTCATTGGTTTTCATTTGTTTTATTGATTATATTTTGCAGGACGAACTGTAAGGAGATTGGGTGTTGCGATATCTGTCGCCCGAGGAAAATGTCTTCTCAGATTTTTTCTTGTTTTTCTTCAGCCTCTAGTTTCATCCTTTTTTTTTTTTCCGCTTCTCAGAGAAGAACGAGGATATTTTTAGCTGATTTGCTTTAACATCTTATGAGAACACTGATAGAACTAGAATCAAAATGAAGCATTATATGAAGTGACATTGAGAATGTGTTTATGTTACTATATTCCATTTTCAGAATGGGATTGAATGGGGTGACATGATCAATACAAGTAATCACATGCTTCCACCAAATGGTTACTGTTTTTTATCATATAATAATCTGTCGAGAAACAAATGAAAAGACGGTCAAAATGCACAAGGAAACAGAAAGAGTAGTGAATTAATAAATATCGTCTCTGTTTGGCAATTAAATATTTAAGAAGAATAATCTATATATATATATATATATATATATAAAATTAAGGGCAAGCTTCATTTAATTTTATTCAGCTTCAAATAATAATAATACTTCAAATAATAATAATAATATGGGGTCATTTTATTAAAATAGGTTGCATTTAATAAAATTTTTGATGACCTCCATCCAAAAGTCGTTACAACATATTTTTTCTTTTAATTTATTACATACAATCATCCACCTATTTTTACTATATTTTGAATTTGTAATGGTTGCATGAGTTTACCATCTTTTATTTTTCTATATTTGAATAATGTAAATGTTGCATGATTAGAAAATAATGTTTAAACCCATAAACTTTAATGATTAATTTATTTATTTTTTTTTTTTTTTAATTTGTATGTTGATGATTGAGAAGCAAAAGAGGTATTAAGTATTGATATGCTATATATACGACACAAAATGTATATAAGAAAAGTCATCTTTTGTAATATACTACCTCCTATTCTTTTTAAATGTCATTTTGGCATTATTAACTATTAACAAAATAAATGTCATTTTGACTATTTTGTACATATTTTTTTAATATTACTTTCATCCAGCTAATAAATACACTACGTCTTTTTCATATTCACTCTTCAATTTTTTTCTCAAAACATTCATGTTTATCTTCATTAATGGGGGTTATTATTGATAAAAAAATATTATTAATATTTGTGACTTCTCAAAACGACACTTATTATGAACAGGACGGAGTATATATTAGTTGAATTTAATGAAAAATAATTATCCATTTTATTTTATATGATAACTATAGTGATGAATTTGAATACTTTTATGATGTTCATTTTTACTAATGACAAAAATTTTAAAATGTGATACTATTATTTAACTTATAATTTTACAATTAAACAATACACACAATTTATAAGTTAAAATAGTTCAAATTTCTGTGCATGTGCACATGATCAAATACAAGTTTAAGTAATTAGAAAAATTAAGTAGACGAGAATATCTACTTAATCTAAATTTTTGATTGGGCAAATTATAGACGAGGACATCTATTTAATTCGATTGTTGAATTAATGATTTAACTAACACAAGGTCGAGCCAGTATGAAAATGCAGATGCTGCTCTTCTTGTTAAACAACGGGGCGTTACATCTTATTTCCTAGCTCTTCACTGTCTCTGAAATCTTACAGTCCTTCGTGAGATATATTTTTCATCTTGATAGGATTTTGTTCCCTCTTATCTTACGGCTCTGAGTTCCTCCGATCGTCTTAACAACCTCACAGCCCAACCGTCATGGATGCATACAATGTCGAAACGACCTTTACCTTACGACTTCAAGGTCGTAATAACCCCTCATTTGTCTGTGCTCCTAAAGGAGGTCTTGCCGTTAATCCTTTAGCCAGACCAACTCGTACCTTGAGCCGTCGAAGCGAGCTCCTTGATAAGGCCATGCAATAATTCTAATAGAATAACATGTAAATAGAATAATATAAGAATGAACTAGTGTATTATAGTTGTATCAATATAATAAAATGATGAAATTGAACGAAAAATGCCAATGAAAATATATTCCAATGGAATTCCTATGGCAATTACAATAGATATTCCAATGTTATAACTTTAGTTGGAATTTTTTGAAAAATCCAACATTAATATTCCATTGGAATTAGCTCTTATTGAAATTAGTGTTGAATTTTGGCGATTCCAATATTGAAATATGGGTGGTAATAACAATTTCAATGGAAATGACATATTCCAGTGAAAGTTCCTACGGAATAAACCGGTAAGAAAATGATTGTCTGAATCATTAAATTATAACTAAAATTTAAACCGAAAACTCATGCAATTGAAATATTTTCGTTGGAATTTTCGATGGAATCATTCCAACGGAAGCTATATTACTAGAATATATATACCGTAGGATTGTTTGTTGGAATATATACTTTTTAGTATATAACTTACATAATTTTTTTAATTAATCATAATACGACTTTAGGTTAATTAATCGCCTGAATCTTTAAATCCTTATCCTAATTTAAACTTTTTATCATTGTAAAAATTGTTGAACGTAAAGAAAATAAATATAATTATTAGTGATTAACTATTGTATACAGTAAGTTGTATAACTTACATAAAATTTTAGTAGTTAGTCACAGTAAAAAATTAGGGTAATTAATAGCCTGAATCAATTTAATGTTTATATAAACCTAGCAAACTTATAAGATAGGTTGCAAACACACATGTAACATTTCAAGTAATACACATGAAAATATAAAATGCATAAATTATTTAGCAACAACAATGATATATTATAAAAAAAACAATCATTTGTGCTTTTGCTTTTGTTTTTGTGCTTTTGTTGTTGGGAGGTTGGGATTCTTTTGTGTATTTTAGGGGGTCACAAGCTTGTAGCTGATGCCCTCGCTTTTCCTATTACTAGCCTTTTTTGGGTTGTTGCTGGGTAGTAATAGGCCAATCATTTGGGTTGTGGCATGGTTAAAAAGTTTTTTAATTATTCAGACAATAAGCAATAAAAAGTAGTTTCATTGTTTTACTTGGTTTGTTTTCCCTCTTGTGCATGTCCCAATAACAAGACTTCTTTTTGTTTCAGAAACTAAAACTGAAGGTGATTCATTAATTGTTATCACAAATGGTTAGGATTAGTGTGTTATCAGTTAGATATATATTTGAGAGCAGATGTTTATGGCCCAATGGCTCATGTGTTGTCCATGATTTTAAAGTCAATATTGGTTAGTGAATAATGCTCAAGTATCTGTTGCTTCTTTCTTGATGCAGTCTCCGGAATTACACATTTTGTGTTAATGCATTTTCCTTGTTTCTTAAGAATATCAATATAGCTGAAGGTCCAGTAGTTTAAAGGTTAATTTTGTTATTGGGCACAAAATGATTGTTACATATATGGTTAAACAAGACCTAAAACACCAAATATTGTATTGTTATAGGGCACAAAATAATCGTCTATTCATAGTAGTACCTATTTTCTTCACAACAGTACCAGTTTTGTATTGTTATAGTACCGGATATTAGCTCATCAGTACCACGTGTAACGAACACATAAAATATCGAATTTCGGTCTCAAATGATGTTTACATGACAAATAATCACTCTTACACAAGTTTTTATAAGATTTATAATGTTTTTCATTAAGTTTAATTGCACATTGGTCGCGAACTTGACACACTAATGAAAAAAATCAAAAATAAAAAAATACTACCAACACTTCATCTCATTAAAATTGTACTAGTTTTAGGCAAAATAATATTGCATCTTCTTCTACGTGGTACCTGCTTTTGATCGATTAGTACCTGCTTTTGTTAAGAAAAATTGATTATTTCATTGTGGTCAACATTTACAAAAAGTAGTACCAGTCATAGTGTAAGACAATACCACTTTATGACGTGTTGGTACCAGATATAGTCTTTCTAGTACCACTTGTAATGAACACATAAGAAGATCGAATTTCGGTCGCAAATGATGTTTATACGACCCATAATCACTCTCACATTAGTTTATATAAGATTTTAAATGTTTTTGATTGAGTTTAATTGCAAATTGGTCATGAACTCGATACACTAATGAGAAAACACTACTAATAGACTTCATTTCACTGAATGACACACTTCATCTCATAGAAATCATCATACATGACTACACCAAATTCTACCTATATGTTTTTACTTTCACTTTTTTTTTTTCATCCAAATCAAGTGTGAACGATCCACGTGTCATGGTACACAATAAGGATTAGAGAAATCGCGATTCTGAAAATAGTACCAGTTTTGGACAAAGTAGTACCACATCTTATTCTATGTGGTACCTGCTTTTGATAGATTAGTACTTACTTTTATGAAGAAAAATTGATTATTTCAATTGTAGTCAACATTTACAAAAAGTAGTACCAATCATAGTGTAATGCAGTACCACTTTATGGCGCGATAGTACCAGATATCATGTCCCTACTACCACTTGTAATTAACAAATAAGAAGACCGAATTTCGGTCGCAAATGTTATTTATACGACCCATAATCACTCTGACATTAGTTTTTATGATATTTGATATTTGGTTAATTAAGTTTAATTACAATTTGGTCACGAACTCAACACACTAATGAAAAAACGCTACATAATACACTTCAACTCATTGATTGGTACCAGTTTTAAGGGATATAATACCGTTTTTTCTTCTACGAAGTACATGTTATTCATCAATTAGTACCAGCTTTCTAGAATGAACATGTAATACACCGATTAAAACTTCACAAAGTTATTACCTATATTGCAGTATGAAATGTAAATATATTGTACAAAAAATTATTATTCATAAAGTGTCATTTACTACCCACTCTTTGGAATGAAGTTGAGTACACATGTATGGACGAGATTGCATTTCTGGATGGAAAACTGGTGATCTCTTTTGTATAACGATGCATATACTCTCCATTCACAATCCGCATCGCAACACTACTCTAAATTCTACCTATATGTTTTAACTTCCATTATTTTTCATCCAAATCATGCATGAACGATCAACTTGTCATGGTAGACATGAAGGATTAGAGAATCA